GGCAATGTTTCTAAGTACGCCGTTCCTTCGATCCAACTAAACAAATATCAACAATATCGTCGAAATCTTCTACCTGCTGTTTTTAACATATTTAAATTGCTTCTATAATACTAGAAATAATTTAAACTTGTCATATTTTGCATTCTGTGAAAAATTAATAATATCATTTAAAAAAAAATATTTATTGGCTACAGTAACAAACGATTTTCTATTCAATTTTTGTTCGAAAGTTCGAAGGGTTTCTCGTCGATGAAGGGAAGACGGAACTGGCGGCGAAAGGAAATTGAAAAGGAACAATCGACGGGACATTGAATTTGAAAAAAGGCTCGAAGAAGCCAGAGATGAAACAAAAGTAATTCCTGGCGGTGTTCGTCAGCTAGCATCGAACATAGTGTCGGTGGACCCCATCGACTGAAATACGTATGTACATAAAACGAAAGCGACGTCGAGGAAAGGTCGAGGAAAAGAGAAATACTGTTCGAGTCGAATCCATTGCACGTAGCAAAGGGAACGAAGCACAAAAGAGGATTGCGGCGATTTCGATGCGAGTACAAAGACAAATTTTCGAACCTCGAAAATTACAAACGTTCCCGATCGAAGAACCACCGACGAGAAACAGTAATTCTCCCTGGAATTACTGTTTTATTAAATTAATATCTTTTCCTCGAAAATACGTTAATTCCATTCGTACATTTATTCCTATAACTCGATATTTCAATTCGAGTTACACGATAAATTGATACGGCTGAATATTACCGCAAATGATTCTCGAATCGGTAATATATAATTTACGTTTTATTTCAGTGGTAACGCTCTAATAATCCTCTTAGAAAATAGTTGAATAATACGTACGTAAGGATTATATATTGAAACGGCAACTCCCATCCCTCGAATGATTTTAAGCTTTCAATATTTTATGAACAGATTACGCCGGATTACGACCACAGTTACAAGTTTGCAGACTCGCCTCGGTTCATTCTGTCAGCTTAGAATTCGAAGCCTTCGAAATTTTGCCCGATTGAACATTTTCCAGTTTCGATCGTTTCGAAAATAAGCTTGGAAGCTCGTTGGAACCAGAGTCACGTTGACGTTTCCACTGATTTATAATCGCATTAGAATACGATTCGCGGAGACCAATCGTCCCTACGAGCATTAGTCGAGCTGCAATCATTCGTTTTCTATTTTCTGTTTTACGAGTTTTCATTCACCGCTCTACAATACCGCGCACTTAGGTTTCTTTAATGCTTTTCTTTGTCTGCTCCCGCGATGAAACGTATATTATGCGATTAGTGGTATCCTATTTGTGGTATCGCATTCTTTCGTTGTATTCAAGAATTCTAAGTCTTAGGCTTCGTTCGAGAAATAATTTTAAAACTTCACGAAACACGCGAACGATCGAGTACGATTAACGCGTCTGACCAATATCAGTTATTTCTACTTGCATCAGTATTTCTATCATTTCAAGCACTGATGTAAGTGTATAATAGTATTCTTTGCGTTGTATGAATCTCGTAACTGGTCACGATTGATTAAAACATAATATTATACCGCTGGGAACCCTCAAAAACAAAATTGTAAGTAGTAATGAGGAATAATGGTCAGACATATCTTCGAGGACAATTTTCTCAGGAATGAAGCCTCGTACGAGAAAATTCTATTCTATATTTTCGACTTGTTTTTACACGAAGAGCTTGCTATTATTCGGTTGTACAACAAATCTTAGCTCTTCATGTACAAGCATCTATATTCTCGTATTTTTCAGAAGAATTCTTTTTTCCTGAAACTTGTCATACTTATTCCTAGCTAACTACTCTTCCTTATTTAATTAAGTGTTTTTCTGTTGTATATTATATCACTTTGTATCACTAATTTTCCAAAATATTCATAATTTTTTAATCGTCATTCGTAATGTAATCTTTATTTTGTTTCCTTTATAAGATATTCTATTTTCCAGTGATTCTGTGCCAGTGATCCGTGGATATCTTTTTTCGTACAAATCGTCGTAATCAGTTACTTACGATTTAATTACAGGGGACACCAATTCCTCTGGATATCAACGCAAGCCTGAGAAAACATTCAACGAGTCGCAAGTAATACCGCGACACGGGATCGAACGTGACACAGGCGGCACGAAACTGTGGCAGAAAGGAAAACTGCTGTCCGTTCGAAACGCAGCCGAGGATACGTGGCGAATTCCGAATAGAGGGGAAGGAGGATTTGTAGATCCGTCTTCGCAGGAAATACAAAGTCTAACCTTTCGGCCTGGCCAACAATCCTTGGCCAAGGCTACCAGAAGCAACCATCGCTGCCACTATTGATTCCCTCTTATTCCTTTTCTCGTTCCCGAGAAGAATTGAATTTTCGTTTCTCGCTGGTCACTCCGCGATTCTGCCACCCCCCACGCTCCTCTATTTTCACGCTCACGTTTTTTCTTGCCCTTCGTTCCCTTCTGCCCTTGCTCGCCCTTCGTTTATTTTCAGAGAGTTTCGCGAGATCCCTCGGAAAATGAACATGAACCAATATGAACGAATAAAGTAACTTTCGTACTGTCGTTTTTGTTTCCCAAAGTAACAGGTGGTAAACTTCTCGGGAGAATTCTTTTTGATTCGACTTTTGGACCTTATAATACTTTTATTGTCGCTTCATATGTGTATGAGCGATGGCGTCTTTTCACTTTGTAGTTGAAACGTTAAAGGAAATAAAATAGGCGCTGAGACTAATTGTCTAAAATGGAAGTTTAAGTCGAATAAAGTTTCTGGATGAATACAGCGTTGCAATATGGATACTTTTGTATGTTTAACAGTCCTGAGCAATATAATTGTGTTAGCAAGAGACTAAACGAGCGACAGGGTTGAGAGATTGCTTCCAAACGAACCAAAAATCACATTGTTCGATTTCATAAATCCTACCTATCATGTGTAGCGATCCTTAGAAAATTCCGAACGAGTAATCGACGAGTAAAATTGAAAAATTCATAAACCGTTACGACGAAAGACGAGGGGTACACGGATACGAAATTGTTTACCGTATAAATTGACTCCGAGAGAGTCGAGGAGCATCGTACAAAGAACGCTCCATTTTTATTCCACGCGAGACGAAGAAGACATTTTCTGGATGGAAATAGCATCATTTTGACTTACACGTCCGGGAACACAATGAAAAGAAATGAACGTGCGAAAATTGCGCAAACTGTAAAGAGGAAACCCCTGTGAAGTGTTTCATCCCTTCGGAGTGAATTTCCGCGAGGGAAAAAGAAACTACTTCTTACGTCTTCGAACGTGGTCTACGTTTTCACGAGGACTCGTCAGAATAGGAATTTTCGCGCTGGGAAAACCTTGTCAGACACGTCGATCCGGGAAACATCCACGGAGCCATCGTAAACCTTTCCTCCTTCTTTTCTCCGCCTTTCATCATCCCTTTTCGCGTCACGAATTACGGGGTTTCAGCGCGAATTCGACGTACAAATGGGAACGAAACTAACGAAACTTCACAGACTCGTAAAGCAGCTCAAGATATTAGACGCGTATTTTGTTCTCGGTACGACGAGACGATTTCGTGGAGAGGGGGGGGGGAGTCTGATATCCCCTTCTAACGCGCCTTCGGTGCAATTTATTTCTAGGATGTAAGTGGAACATGCAGAACCGGGGGATTACGCGTTGGAAGCGAACGTCGTATTATTTGAAGTCGGAATCTATACTTAAACTCGCTCGGCTCCGGAGTATTTATCGTTATGGCGACAAATGATTTTCTTCGGTCGTTCCGTGCAAAGTAAACGCGACGATTAAAACGGGCGAACGCGATCGAAACGACGAAATTCTTTTAGCGCGTCTCCGGCGTGCTTTACGAAGCGAATGAAACCGATAATTATTCGGAGAATTTCAAATCTTTAACTGGTAAATAATTTCTATGACTGAAATTGTACGTATTATTTTTATAGTTTTGTAGCATCTAGATTAAATCTGCTACGTATAGGATAAATGGTGATATCTTTTAAATTTATACAAAAATTTGTCGAAAAGCTGTGTTCCCGTTAAAGATTACACAAAATACTAGAAAACATTTCCGTAGATATTATAGCACTGCACCGGGTCTGTCGGATCAAAAATTCAATATACACGAAACGTTCTTCATATTTACTGGATTATAAAACACTGGGAATAGAGCGAAATTTTATAATATTAAACGGACCAGAGATTTAAATCGTGATGTTTTAAATTATCTTCATGTATCTTCCAAAAAATCGATGCTATTCCATCGACGAAAGTAAATAGCTTTTAATCGTTTTTAATTTGCTAAAGCTCCCCCTTGCACTGCCTATCGTCACTAAAAGTGCTTTAAAAAGCCAGCAAAGTAATACAAATATTCGCGGAATGGAATTTCATCCATTTAGAATTTCAACGCGTTGCAAGGATTTCTAGTATCTCTAATTTAGAAAAAACCGTGCATCCTTATAAAATTGCATTTTTTAACTATGATCAGCCATATTAATTATACTCTAAATACAATTCTGCAAATGTGTTTTCTTTTTCCTATAACCACCAGCGAGTTATTAGATTCTGAACAGCCATAGAAGACCAAATACGGAGTATAAGGAGTATCATCTCTAATCTAAAAAAAACCGTGTATCCTTATAAAATTGCATTTTTTAACTATTATCAGCCATATTAATTATACTCTAAATACAATTCTGCAAATGTGTTTTCTTTTTCCTATAACCGCCAGGGAGTTATTAGATACTGAACAGCCATAGAAGATAACTCGAGGACTTCTCTCGACCCAAGTATGTTCGAAGTACGTTTCCTCTCGAGTCTTTCTCTCCGAATACATTGTTTTCGTCTACTCTAGGAATTACTCTGCGATCGAAAGCAGTCGAGTTCTCGGCTCGCGGGGGCGTAAAAGAGTAGACGGTTTTCGTTAATCGCAGACGGCAACGGAAACACGACAGGTTCCGCTAATCCACGCGGAAAAGAGGGGGGTTGGAATCACGCATCTATACTCACAAGTGGTCCTGCCGCTTGAACGCCTTGCCGCACATCGTGCACACGTATTTCCTCTCGTCGCTGTGCGTCAGCTTGTGCTTCGTGAGCGCCGATGCGTTGTTGAACACCTTCCCGCAGACCTGCGACAGAAACCGTGCACCGTGTCAGCGCATCTTTGCAACGACGCCCCCCCGTAACAGTTGGCTTATTCGCGTAATCAGCCATCGACGCTGACAATTTCACGAAGGGGGCACGAACTTTCCAAGTTCGAGTCTTTTCTAGCGATCCACCTGTTTAAATCTTGTCTGTTTAAAATTTTTTATAGGTGGTACGCGATCTACGTTAATATGTACGCAAGTAAACAAACACTTGACCATCTATTGTCTTCAGACAAATGTACCTACCACGTATGTATGTAAGTAAAGTAATTTGTAATAATCTGTTAGTCATCCAAAATAAAACCCTAATATAAAACTAACACCGAAAAAGTGACGATTTTAATAAGTGTATCGTTGAAAATATATTTCAGACCAAAGACAGAGATATTTGGAAACAGCGTAACGATTTAAAGATTGTTCGATTTCGCAATCCGCGAGGCGCGTTCGATTCAATCGCCGGCCCCCTGTTATTGGAACGAACCGGATCGCGCTCCCCGTCTAACGAGTAACGAAATTACTGTTCACAATCGCGGACAAACTAAGTGTAACGGCTTCGAATCGGTTCCCGCGATTTTAATACACGATAATCGGCGCGTGTTTCGCGCAAATGTTCGCAATTCTCCGCGGCTGGGCAAACGTTTCCGCACGGTTCATTGCGAGCCCCGCGAAACGGAACGGGCCGGACACAGTTTTCAATTACCGGGCGCAGCCATCGTAAAACCAGACGGACACGGGTTTACGACGGACATTAGAACGTCGATAAAGATACCATTGCGCCACGGCGAGCTGTGCGCCTCGACGGTGGGTGCGCGTTTACCATCGATCACGATCGTACGTTTCGAAAGTCTGTGTTATCGCAGACCTTTTGACGACAACCGACTTCGGGACCATGAATTTCTCCGGTTGCGGGGGGGGGGCCAGACGTATTATTTTTAACGGCGTCGCGGGGGAGGAAACTCCGTTTAACGCTCGAGCTAAAGATAATATACAAATTCTTGCGAGCATAGCTTCTTCGAATCGAGCGTTACTCGATACGCCTGTGATGATAATATTCGTTCGGTTTTCTACCAAAACATCTACAGCAATTTAACCCTTGGCGTTTCGAAATGGGACGATCGATGTTTATTACCGACGATGTCAAAGACGAATTCAAACACGTAAAAGCGTGTTTCATTTATAATTTGCTTAGTTTTACCATTGAAAAGTGTCTGACACAAATCTTAATTCCTCTAGAAATACAATAATAGGATGTCAGTTTAAAATTTCCCTCAACATTGTGCCGAACGCAGAATAAAATTAAACTTTATTCCTCGAACAATTATTTCCATTTTAAACTCTAATTCGTGAAAAACGAACGTAGCCAGCGAAACAGCTAAATCAGCGGGAGGAAACGAGAGGGTAATAGAAACGAATGTTGGTATTAAACCGTCCGCGATGAAGAATCTACATCATTACACGCAACTCTCATTAAATTTAACGACACGCTACGGTTTGTTCCCGGGCGAAAAGAATACGAAACAATTTGCGTATTGTCTTCGCACATCGTTATATTAAAAAACGAGCGCGAACTTATGAACCGAGCAGATTACTTTTATACGCAACTACTCCGCTAAAAACAGCGCTAATTAGTGTACCGAAATCTAAAGGTATCCAGCGAGAACGAAACGCAACGGGGCACGTTGGCAACGCCACGAGACAGAGGATCTAAAACCATTCAATTTCGCCTGGTAACGTTTCCTTTCATCTCCGGAGGGTTTCCAAAGCCACGTTCCCCTGCCCAATTGCGAAGGGACAGACCGTAGAATTCTTTGAAACCGAAGAACACAGTTCGATGTACAAAGACGGCGACAGCCGCCTCTCGTCTGCGAAATTTCTAATTACGCGAGACGCTGCTATGGCATTTCACGTGTTAACAACAGCCACGTCGAAGACGCGGGTCGAGGGGTGTTGGGGATGGTATGCCTGTTAAGTATGTGGAATTGGGTTTATTACTCGCTCGGAGGCGTGTACTATTTCAGGAACTATTTCAGGAACCTGAAAGCCGAGAGCCCTAGCGCGCACGAACGTTGTTCCATTTCAAAGTCCAAGGACCACGCAAGAATAGTCGGAATTGGTGTCGAATTTGCCGTCGCTAAATATCGCGGGAAATTCCCTGGGATCGAACACGGGAAAGTACTCGGGGACGATTCTGATAAAATTTCCTTTACACGCTGCGGCGTTTCTTTGCCATCAAACCGTTTCAGAAACTCAAATACTCTCGCTATTTGTGTGTTATTATACATAGAAAATTCTGTTATCGTTGGTGGAGAGTACTTGGGTATTTTCTTTAACATTACTTCGGGTTCGAATATACAACACAGTTACTCCCACTCGTATTCGCTATAAATGAATGTTTATTTTTACCAAATGTTATTATTTATTACCACTGTGTTACTTCCCCATTTATGAAGTATTTTTCTTCTGTTTTTTTTAATGTTAACGGGCAAGCAATACCTAATTGCAAACCCGATAGAGGGGTATATAAATAATAATAAATACCTCTATACGTATTTTTCCCCCCAAGCGGTATAACCCATCCTGAACTGCACTCGGGCCCAATGCAGCTGAACGTCACTGATCGGACGAGAACTCGCGTATTCAACGTGCCACGAGTAGTTGCACTTGAATAATACTATTTCCACGATAATGTATGCAACAATATTTTTTTTTGTGACTCAGAGAATTTCTACAATATATAGAAACGTCCATAAATTATATATCGGGTGTTTAGTCTGCAAGAATTTTACAACAGCACTTGACTAAAATTAGGAAAATAATTATTCAGATTATAGATTCTCCAAACTCCGGAACCACGCGTGTGCATATAAAGAAGTTAGATAATAATAAAGATATGTCGATCCGAAGGATGAGGAGGGGGGTTCGAGTCGAAATTAATTTCCAATGCAGCTGCTGCCAGCACGCGGCGACGCGGACAAGAGAAAAGTTCGTCTCCACTTTTCGTTTCACTGTTATTTCCATCCCGATTCGATGCCTCGTACGCGAACGCGCTCCGATCGTGGCTGACTTTCGACGACGCGAATGAAGTTGCGCCAGTTCGTCCGCGGAAATTTCCCTCGCCTCGAACGAACTTTCCTCCCCTTACTTGTCCACCCTTCGGCCGGAAACTTCCGTTTTCCTAATGGCGGGAGAAGAAAGGATAAACCGTCGAATCAGCGATCGCTGATACTTCAGCCGTGAAATTTACCGATTTTCCGCGAACGAGTAGCGCCGTGAACCCGCGCGGAATTTCAATACTCGGATGAAATATTAGGGTCGCTTGGAAAATATCACGCGGTCGAGTCGCTTTGCAAAGGGGCGCCTTTAATTTTTGTTCTCCGTGACTACGAGCAGAAGCACAAGTTTTACATTTCGTAATGTGAAACCGTTTTTTTTTCACGAATTAATATACTTTTCGTAGAATAAAGTTTCGCAAAAAACATTTCAGAGATTTCCTTCGCTACGTTACACTGTAATTTTTTTATCCACGTAAACATCTCACGATTCAACAGTTTAAAGCAGCACTGGTCAACGTAACTCCAGGAGTTTATACCGAATTATGTTTTAAGGACGGTTATTACGCTTCCACTTTAAATAAACGAACCCGCGAGTGCATAAACTTGCATCCCCTTATCAAAAACACGAGTTTATTATTCGAGATAAAACTAAACTACGTCTCGTTATGGAAGAAGTATAACGCACGTTTCTTTCCCACCCTTCTGCTCACTCTTCCTGTCACAGCACTGGAATCTGGGTTAATCGGCAGAAAAGTTAACCGCGATCCGTCCTATCGGGCTTTTAATCTTAATTAAAGAACTGCTTGTCAGATCTTTTGTATCGTAATTAAAAAAGTAAGTTCTGATGTATACCTTTCGCTTTTTTTTTTTTTTTTTAAACAAGACCCGATCTGATACGTATGCGCCGCGAAGTCGGCGTAATGTCGGTGACCTAATTAAGATGAATGAAGAAGTTCATTTGCAAGTTTCCACATTATGATAAAATACGACAAAGTTTAGTCTGTAACTTTAAGCGAGGGGCGTTAATTACTGTCACTTTGTTGTAAGGGAGCATTGTGGACCGGAAATGCCTGTAACTTCTGACGAATTTGAGTAATTATATTCGTGAATGAAAATCGAATTGTAATAAATTGTAATAAATTATTTAAAAATCTCTGTCTATTAGGTATCTATGATACTTGCTCTTGAAAATCATAGAAAAGTGTTTACTTTTATTTCCAATTCATCAGTAAATTTAATCAACATTGATTTTTGGATTATGCAACGCTCGACGGATACCAAGAAACCGTAAGATCGATCGCCAGAGTCGATCGAAATCGTCGAACGTCGAGGGACAGGGATAGCAGAGGGGGGGTAGAAAATCGTACTTCTGGCTTCTAAGCAGAAAATCTAATTTGCGTAGCTTAACTCGTAAGGAGCTCCAGATGTACGGACTCGAACACACGGGAGTTTCAATTTACGAGACGAGGTCCAGATGGAAGGGCGAGGAGGGATGGAACGGGGGATGCACGAGAGGAAGAAGAACGGGAGATGTTTCAACCGGGGTCCCTGGTCCTACCATCCCTTAGCCATCATCTTCGTGCCAAAACCCGTATCTTCCAGCCCCGTTAACGGTCCTTCCTCGAGAGCTAAACAAACATCATTACTCCTGGCCTTTCTGGATCCCTCTGCCGCCACCAGCAGCAACCACCCCCGCCACCCTGAGCACCGCCGTGTCTGCAGCAACCTTCCCGTGTCCGCGCTGCCGAACCCGCCAATGTACACCGACCAAACGCCGCTCCTGAATACGTAATCCGTCGGTGGTAACACTGATACTTCGTTAAGGGGGAACCTTCGGGACTGGGCTGCGGGAAGGGCCGCAACGACAGAGAGGGAAGAAGGGCCGAGTGCGCGAAGGGACGGAGTCGATGGATGAAGTTAGACGATGGT